TAGAATACTGATGTTACCATTATAACCCAAAAATCTTGGCCTTCAAGATGGCCTCTGTAGGAGGTAAATGTTCAATTCTTAGGGATTGGAACCGTATCTCAGGTAAAACAGAGCACGAGATGGGTTGAGTGTATAGGACCAGAAGGACAAAAAGGAAGACTGAGATCATATGTGGTAGATATAGTGACTAATCTCTGACGCCATGATCTATTACAGCAATGGACTACCCAGATTAACATTCCTCCACTATCAGATATGAACCATAAACAAGCTCATGGCTATATTGCAAGGCACTACAGAAAGCAGACACCAACCATACAGGCTTTATATAAACAGAATACAACTACCAGATTTACAGAGGAACCAGAAGCACTACCCTTGAAATGGAAAACAAATGAACCTGTCTGGGTGGGGCAATGGCCTATGGCCCCTGAGAAGCTAGAGGCCTTAGAAAAGCTGGCTCAGGATCAGCTAAATGCTGGGTTGAACACCTGGGCTAAGCTGGATGATGAGCTTACTGATGCCCCCATAGCTGAGGTGAAGCAGAAGCCCAGTGAGCCCTCAGCAGAGTTTATAGACTGGGTCCAAAAGAGCGTTCAGCGCAAGCTGCCACCCGAGGACCGCAGAGAACAATTTATCCAACTGCTGGTATGGGAAGGGATGAATGGGGACCTTAAAATGGCCTGCACGGGATTAAAAAACAGTTCCCTGAACAGATGGGTGGTACCATCCCAATAGGTAGGTACCCAGCAACACCAATCCCAGTCTCTGGTCCTAGCCTTACAGGCACAGATGATTGCCATGACAGAGGCCATCACCCAGGCCCTGGCAACCCAGGGTCAAGGGTCCTTGAAGCCACTGGGAAAAGGGACATGCTTTAGACGTGGATGGAGGGACATTTTAAAAGAGAGTGTTCTCAACACCCACATCCCCGCTAGCAGACCAGGAGGGGCTAAGCCCCCTCCACCCCATGTCTTCAGTGCAGGAGGGGACACCATTGGGAGAAGGACTATAGATCAAAATTTGACTTGGAGGGGAAGCCTTTAAACTAGAGGAGGGGTAGCCTCTAGCCCCATTACAAAAGGGAGGAAGCCTCTCTAAAGGTAGGATTGGAAGGTGTCATACCCCAACAACACAAGCTCACTGGACTGTCCCCTTGATTGAAGGACTTTGCCCAAAAATTACCATTTCTATAGGCAGAAAGAAGTTTCAGTGCTTGATAGACACAGGGACAGACAGGACAGTACTCCCAAGGAGGAAGTATCTGCCAACTGGGAGCTTGCAACTGGGCCCTCGGTTTTTCTGGGTGGGGGTTAACTCCCAATCCAGAGAAACAGTGACCTTAATGTGCTGAGCCAGCCTAGAAAGATACTCCCCTTAGTGGTCAAAGGCCTTACTGACAATTTGCTGGGACAGGACACGCTGGGCCAAATGGACGCTGCTGTGACCACAGATCATCAGGCTTTTTATAAGGAAAAGGAAGAGGCACAAAGGGTTGGAAATTACCTAAAGGAGGTCACAGAGAAGGATTTTTTTAAGCCTCCACAACTACAGAGTCTATCCCAGCGTACTCCCAATCATAAAGGCCACTGCCCCCCAAGTGCCACCTATCAGATGGGCACTGGAAAAGACCCGTATGGGTAGAACAATGACTGTTGACTAAACCTAAGTTACTAGCACTCAACCAGCTAGTGGACAAACAGTCAAGGTTCGGACATATCTGCCCCCTTATGAGCCCATGGAACACCCCGGTGTTTGTAATTCAAAAGGCGTCTGGGGCTTGGCACATGCTCCAAGATTTGCACAAGATAAATGAGAGGATGGAACTGGTGGGCACCCCCTTAAGGGGCATGCCCTGGACTCCTGCTATCCCCACAGAAAATGCATTTATGGTCATTGATATTAGGATTGCTTCTTTTCTATACCGCAACATCCAGAGGAATGTGATAAATTCTCCATCTCTGTTCCTTCACTTAATTATTCCAAACCTGATCAACGTTTTGAATGGGTAGTGCTGCCACAGGGGATGGCTAACAGCCCGACCTTCTGTCAACAGTGTCTTCCTACTCTCTTAAGGCCTATGCTAAAGTCAAAGGATTCAATAATATATGCTTATATGGGTGATTTAACTTTGGGTCATCGGGATCCAGCATATCTGGAGGGCTTTGTGACCCAGGTGCTCCAATTGCTTAAAGAGGGGGGTTTACTGTGGCCCCAGAAAAGGTTCAAAAGGTGCCTCCCTTCAAAGTATTTGGTCACACCTCATGGTGACACAGGCTAGCCCACTTAAGCCTGTTCTGGTGGTGCCTGAATCTATGACCCTGACCCAGCTCCAGCGCTTAATGGGGGAGATTAATTGACTGAGACCCTGGGTGTCAATCCCACAGAAGACCTGGTACCTCTGTACTCCCTGTTAAAGGACAAGGCACCTCATGATAATATAACCATGACAAAGGAGCACCGCAAGATGCTCCTTGTCTTTCAGAAGGCCACAGGAGGTATATGGTGACTAGGCCCTTGTCCCTCTGGCTGTTTGCTGGAGCCTCCCTGATTACAGCAGTTCTAACCCAGGAGAGGGAGTAGTTGGAGGAGAACTTGAGGGATCAGGAAGATGGAGGCAAGGGAAGAATAGAGTAAGAGATCAAGAAAAGAGATACCTGAATAGAGGGAGCCATTATAGGTTTAAAGAGAAATTTGGCACTAGGGAAATGTCCAGGGATCCACAAGGATGACCCCAACTAAGAATCTAAGCAATGGCGGAGAGGCTACCTTACATGTCCTTCCTCTATAATGAGACTGATGATTACCTTCAATGCCATCCTAAAGCCTTCACCCAGTAGCTGAAGGAAGCAGAAGCTGAGATCCACAGCTAAACACTGAGCCAAACTCCTGGAATCCAATTGTAGAGAGGGAGGAGGGATGAGCAAAAGGGTCAAAACCATGCTGGTGAAACCCACAGAAACAACTGACCTGAGCAAGTGGGAGCTCATGGACCCCAGAATGACACCTGGGAAACCAGCATAGGACCAAACCAGGCACCCTGAATGTGGGTGTCAGTTAGAAGGCCTAGGAAGTCTATGGGACCTCTGTCAGTGGAACCAGTATTTATTCCTAGTACATGGACTTTGGGAGCCCATTACCTATGGAGGGATACTCCCTCAGCCTAGATACAAGGGGCAGGGCCTAGATCATGCCCCAAATGACTTGACAGACTTTGATGATTTCCCCATGGGGGGCCTCTCCTTCCCTGGGAAGTGGATATGGGGTGAGATGGAGGGTTGGTGGGTGGCTTGGGAGGATGGGTGAGAGAGGGAACTGGGATTGGTATGTTGATGGGGGAAGTCCTGTGTATGTGCTTATCTTATTGGTTGTTGAACAAAGCACTGTTGGCCAATAGGGAAGTAAGATAGGTGGGACTAGGAGTTGAGAAGAATTCTGGGAAAGAGAGAGACGGGTAGACACGATGTAGGCCGCCAGAGGTTTAAGAGGTCTGGACCCTTTTCTCTGGTAAGAGAAATACTTAGATTAACAATTATGGGTTAAATACTTAAGTCAGAGCTAGCCAATAAGAAATCATAGCAAGTGGCCCACAGCTTCATAACTAATATAATGTCCTGTGTGTTATTTGGGGTTCAGACAGCTTGGCATGGCTCAGGCAGCTGGCGGGAAGATTATATGTTACAGTATGTAAAATAATATTGTTTTTAATTTAAATAAACAAAGCAGAGAAAGGACATTTAAATAAAAAAAGTGTCATGCAAGCTTCCAAAGGAGGGAGGCAGTCAACAGTCCCACACAGGTATGATGCCTATGACACATCAATGGGCAGCAAGTCACAGAAACCCTATAGGTTCACTAGTGGTGGTAACCAGCAGCTCTCTCATTGAAATTAAGACCTGCTCAGCAAGAGGGATAGCATGCTTGGTACTGGAAACCTTGTTAACTAATTAGTGCTGAAGTCGTGGTTATTGGAGGAGAATCTACAAACACTAATTTACTAAACCAGCATATTCTCTAACAACAATCTATGAACATTTGTCCTTAAACACGGGGGTAAATGTACTCTTCACCCCCATCAAGGAAACTTCTCTTTGCAAAGGTTGGAGACCCCTAGAGAAAACCACAACCCGTCAATATGCAGAGTTGTGCCGCCCGGTCCCAAGGGACACACCTTCAAAACTCTCCCAGACCTAAGGGTCAGGGAACGATGCAGAAGAGGGCATGGAATCCCAACATGGATCCTCTGGAGGAGCAGTCAGTGCTCCTCACCTCTGAGCCTTCTCTACAGGCCCCAGGACCTGAACTTTCCTAAAGGTCTTGGGGTGCAGTGTCACAGGGTTAAGGAGAAAGGCACAGCCTTGCTGACAGGACAGTGATTGTTGTCTGTGTGGGGTGGGGGTAAAGGAAGGAGATGGAGTGGGGGGAGGGGAGACTGAAGAGAGCTGTAAGTGGATGGGGAGTGATGTGACATGGGGACAAGAATAAGGACAACGGTTAAAGTGAGGAGGGAGGACAGGGTTGAGGGGAAGGCACCTGGTGGAGAAACTGAGTCTGGGATTGAGATGGAAGAAGAGGAGAGGTGGTGGGAAGTGGAGAAGGGCCAGCTGGAGACTGTGGGGGGAGGGGACCAGAAAGAGGGCAGTGAGAAGAGTGGTGTGTCTGAAGCTAAAAGAGGTGTCCCTCAAAGACCCCGGAGAGAAACTCCTCACTTGACTAGTCTGAGTGTACACTCATGTCCCTTTATAGCCTCAGGCCAAAAGGAAACACCTTGACCTTTGAGCCTGGCTTGAGAAAAAGAGCACAGAGCCTGTTGGTGCCCGGGAGGAGCCAGGAAGTTTAGGAACTTGTGGATTGGATGACTGCAGCCCGCACCACTTAGCCTCAGCAAATGTTTAAAAAGTGGCCAGCCAGGAACCACGCCTACAGATGATTCTGCAGGCAGATCAGCACTGTTTATAGAACTAGTTGAACTTGTGGATTGGATGACAGCAGCCCGTACCACTTAGCCTCAGCAAATGTCTAAAAAGTGAAGTGCCCAGCCAGAAACCAAGCTGATTCTGTAGGCAGGTCATCACTGAGTGTTTATAGAACTCTCTCCAGTCCTTCTAGGCAGGACTTCTCTCCAAGGCCCAGGTCACTAAACCTGTTGCTCAGGGCATGGCAAACAATGGAGCATCCAAGCACTCTCTTTCCACCAAGGCTCTGTGCTTTTCTCTTCTACTGATCTCTCCGTGGTGCACTCGGACCTCGGGTGAGTTGTCATGGTCTAACTGGAGGGGTGCAGGAAGTGGGGGTGTGGAGGGAACAGCACTGTGGAATCTCTGGGTAGCCATCCTCCGAGAAGCTCCCAGACCATCTGAAAAGCCGTTCAGCACACAGTCCCAGTTCTGCCCCTACGAAGCCTAGGGGAGGAGCAAGAAAGTCACCAACTGGGACCAATCAGAAGGGCAAGATGCCTGAGGAGCATCTGACAAAAGTGTTGATTTAGGCAGGAGGGCATTGTCTTCTATCTTTTTTATGAAAAGGTCGGTGCTAAATATCTTCCACCTGGCCAGGCTCACTTTATCTATCCTGCATCAATACTCAATTCTGCATTAAGTGTGACAGACTCAGAAGCTACAAGCTGAGGAAGGGGACAGCAGATTTGCCCTCCATCATTCTTCTGACCCAGATTAGGGTGTATCCCATGCGCAAGTGTTGGTCCCCATCCTCCAGAATGTCTTCAAATGCAATGACAAAGATGCAGGTTTCCCAGCCAGCATTGGGTTCTGTGCTGCCTGTGACTTCTGGGTCAGCTAGAAACAGCAGGAGGAGGTCCTGGGTTTAGGGCTTAGATTTCTTATCCAGTCAGAGATCAACTTTCCATTGAATGGTGATACCCACAGTGACTAGAAATTCCTATATCATTAACAGTCAAAACAATCCCTCAATAGACACTCACTTCTTAAGTGACTCGACGATGTTTCAAGCTATTGGAGCTAACCAGCAAAGATGTTCAAGTCTTTATTTTCATTCTTTCTTCCTTCCTTTCTTTTTTTAGATACACCCTTCCAGAGGACTTACTTGTCCCACAGGCAGGGACTGTCCCTGAGCCCCTGCTCTGCATCCCTGACCTCACTTCATGGTTCCTTCACAGATGCTGCTGCTCTTTGCTATGGCTTCACTGTTGACAAGTCAGGGTCTGGACCATGGCAGCACACAGTCCAAGGCCAACTGAATGGGGAGGTTTTCATTTACTGTGACAGTAACTACAACTGCCGTGCCATTGGCCCTCTGGGGAACAGACTGATGGCCACAAAGACCTGGAAACCACAAGCTGACACTCTGAAAGATGGAATTGACCTGTTCAAAGCAGAAATGACTCGTATGACTAATGAAATCAGAGGTACGTTTCAAATGGCCCTGTAACAATAAACAGCACACTTGATGAGGGTATAGGTAACTGTTTATTATACAAGAGAAAATGAGCAATCAAGGTGAGTCAGTAGCTTTTGCTGCAGGAACAGAAGCCAAAAAGAGACCATGCGTCTCTCCTGCATCCCCTTTTATTACCACCTCTGTATGAGCCTCCAGCCACACCCAAAGTGGGCGTGGTTAGTGACACAGTTCACCGCCCTTTCATTACCACATCCATATGCGCCTCTAGCCATGTCCAAAATGGTCATGGCTAGCAGCGCAGTCCTAATGTCTCTTCCTACAATTTCCCTTTCAGTCTTAAAACAAAACTAACTTGTGTCAATGAATAAAATATCATAAACATCTATCCCATCTAAACCTAGGCTTATCTGAAAGAAATACCCAACTCTGAACACCTCCTTCCAATCCCAACACTAAAATAATTGAAAACTAACACTAACAGGTGTAAACTATCCTGTAATATCAACAGTAGGGAGAGGTGGCCTAGGAAAGAGAGGCACAGATAGACACGGTGTAGGCCGCCAGAGGAGTAAGAGGTGTGGACCCTTTCTCTGGTAAGAGAAATACTTAGATTAACAATTATGAGCTAAATACTTAAGTCAGAGCTAGCCAGTAAGAAACCAAGCAAACGGCCAACAGCTCCATAGTTAATCTAGTGTCTTGTGTGTTAGTTGGGGACTGCAACTGTGCCAGGGCCCAGGCAGCTGGTGGGGAAGACTACACGTTACATGTCCCCATCATAGGGTTGGGGATGTAGCTAAGGGTTAGAGTGCTTGCCTAGCATGCATAAGGCCCTAGGTTCAATCCCCACTGCTACACACTAAATAAAAGACCATATTACATGGCCCCTGCAGGAAAGAACAGGATCTGCGGCAGGTTAAGGACATTCATTGTTTCCATGGAGGAAAAATAATGAATGACTGGTAGTCACACCTAAGAGGTCCAGCAGCAAAGCTAAAATGTGGAGGGAAAAGCAAGGCCAGAGGCTGGGAAGGGAGACGGTGGGCAGACAGGGTTCATCAAGGCCACAGGCTGATCTCTTTCCAATGGGCACAGAGCCCCTCACTCTGGATGCCAGGATGTGTTGTTGGCATGAAGGAGATGGACTTTTCAAAGCATCCTGGGACATTGACCTCGATGGACACAAAATGCTGCACTTTGACTCAAGCACTGGGAAACTGACTGAAGTTGGTCCTGGATCCAGGTGGATGAAAGAGATGTGGGAGGAAGACAGGGCTGTGACAGCCTTCTTAAAAGTGACCTCACAGGGGGACTGCAGGGCCTGGCTTCAGGAGATCAAGCTGCAGTCCTGGCTTCAGGAGATCAAGTTGCAAATGGAAAAAAACCTGGAGACTACAGGTAGCTGGAGGAATGGGAGGAAGCTCTCTGCAGATGGTGTGTGTGTGTGTGTGTGTGTGTGTGTGTGTGTGTGTGTGTGTAATAATCTAACACCTTGAGTTCTTGGGTTAGTGGCCATTTTTCCATCAGTCATTACATTGTTTACTCACTGTGGTTCTCGAAGGCTGTCACAGTCTAAGAATCCATTTACTTCCTGTCCTTTTCCTCATTCTAGAATCACTGTCCTTTTCATCTCACCTGATCTTCCTTCTTCCCTGACAGCATCCTCACAGGTCATCCTCATGCCTCCTCTCCTTCCAGAGGGAATAAGAGTGTCCACCATTACCCTGCTTCCCCTAACATGGCTTCCCCTAACAAGGTCAGGGACATCCCCTCTCCCTTCCTACTCAGGACCAACCCAAACAGTTGTTGCATAGCAACAGGGAAGGAACTCTGTGTGTTGCTGAATCACCTGAGGACCCAGAAGTTAAGATGAGATTTCCTCAGACTTGAGGTTGGTCAAGGACTCAACTTGTGTTTCCACTTCAGCCTCACCAAATGGTGTGAAAGTTGTGAACCAGCAGCCTTTGTCACTGGCCATCAAGCCCAGCATCTCTGTCCTACTGATAATCCTCACCTGCTCCCTCCTGCTTCTTACCTGAGGAGAATCGTTGGCAATGAAGGTACTGAGGACAGTGTTGGGAGTGGGGAGAGGGACAGAAGCTGAAGAGTGAGGAAGCAGTGAATTCCTGGAGTCCTAACCTTGTCCGTCATCTATAGCATCTTACTGAGAAAGGAAGCAGGAGATCTGGAGTCCATGTCACCTGCTAGCAATAGCTTGTGCATGCTCAGCCTTGACTAATCAGGAATCATGACACAGAGAAGCGGGAAATGAGAGGGAATACAACATGTACCTGGACACAGCAGGCTCCTGATCAGGAGGGTCCCATGATACAGACGGGGAGAGCGCAGGAATTTTTTAAAAATGGTAGTTAACCCCAATGTGTAGATGGAAGAGGATTCCAACCCACAGTCACAGATAAAGAAGATATAAATGCACAGATGGCCGAGTGTCGAAACCACATGCTGCTCATGTATCGACACAGGGTTCCATTTCCATCACCCACTTGGCAGCTCACAACCATTCAGCCCCATCTCCAGGGGATCCCCCCTTCTTCTGCACAGACCCCAGACTTTCACACGGTGCAATTACAGACGTGCAGGCTCACACTCATACACATAAGACAGAAATGAATTCAGCAGCAGCAGCTTCCAGACCCCTGGAGCAGTGTCCGCACTTGAGGCTGGAGGGACTGAGCTGGGGCTGGGGTCTACTGATCCCATCTGGACTGCCCAGGTGGACAAGGTGGAGCAGGGACAGTCACACAGTTGTGACACCACTCTCATCTTTGAGAGTTTTAGAATGAAAGGGAAAGCATGTCTGCATCCCCACTCGAGGACTGGACAACCAGGTCTCAGAACCCTTTCTGGATAGAGGTCCTCCTGCTCCTGCAGCCCCTCCCATCAGGCCCTGCATCAGGAAGCAGAGCTGGTCACTGCCCCTTCATTCTGAACCCCAGGTCTGCAGCACAGCCTGGGCTGCCTCTGGGACATGGGAAAGGAGGGGGAGACAGTGCAGGATCCAGGGAGGGAGGGCGCAGGGGGATGGAGGAGGGAATGGAATGGCCCTCAGTGACAGAGGCTATGGGGTGGTGATGACAGGGCCAGGGCACCCAGAGAACTGACCCAGGCTTCTCTCAGCCCCTTCAAAACGTGTTTCCCTGCTGCAGGGTGCAGAAGCTCCAGTGAATGCTGTGACAGTTCGTCTGGTGCAGCCCCTCTCCCTTCTCCTCAGCCTCAACCAGATGAACCTTGATGCTGCTGACACGGATTCCATGTTCTTTCATGCTGTGCCAGTCACTCGGGCCCTGTCTTATCTCCTTGTTCTGTTTCCTTGGTTCTCCCTGGTGGGTTTGCCCTGCATGGAACAACTTGAACTAGAGATCTGGAGAAGAATGTGGTTATTACCCATCCCTAGCATAGGGAATGGTATAAACAGATCTCCTTAGTGAGAGTATGAAGTTATTACCCTTGTGTAAATAACTTCTCAGTATAGAGGTCAGTGTGAGACATATTAGTAAGGCCCTACCATGCCTAATGGTATTTGGCTGTGAGTTAAATTCTGTTAAGAATATTTACTTTTTAATAGATATTTATTACAACTACACATGTACTAGGCAGCCTTCTCTAGAACAAAATAATAAATGTATGTTTTTATATGAGTGTATATGATAGAAATGTATATTTCATCACATAAAATGTGACATGTACTAGGCAGTCCAGCAATGCACACATGCATACTGGACAGCACCTACCTCCACCTCCCCAGATTCAGGCGTGTGCCGCCACCTCTGCACAATACTTGGTTTTTTAGCTCTAATGGTATGTTATTAAAGTATTAGAACTTTAAAATTTACTATTTTGCACAAATTAATTTGTAAACTACAGTGACATTAAGTATACTGACAATAATCAAATATCTCAGGTATCACTAAAGGAAACTTATAACAACTAAGCATAGGAAACAGGAATAGAGGACTAGTTGTTTAGTAGAGGTCACTGGCAACTGGAACACAGCCCCAGACCTTAGCACAGCTGACTCCATGATGGAAGCAACCTTCAGACTATAAAGCTCAGCACACAGACAGCACTGCCTGCCAAAACTAAAGCAAAGGCCTAATCCATCCAAGTGCATGGTGAAGGGACAGTCTCTGAATGCGCTAACCCTACTTTTTAGCTTCTGTACCTCCACTTCTAGCTAATTGCTCTTGTTAACTAAAGTTTGTCTCCCAACAACATGGGTTTTTGTGCTTAAAATCTCTGCCTGTGCAAGGCTCAGTGCTGCACTGGGATTGTAAACCCCAGTGCAGTTGCTGACCACTAATAAAGAGTTTCTATTGACTTAAATCCACGTCTGAGCTGTCTCCTCTGGTTAGCACCCCACAACATTGCTGGAAGTCCCATGGAGATCCCAGAGCATTTCCTTAAGACACCGGATGTCTCAGAGCCCCATTGGAGCAGGGAGGAATGTGATGGCTAAGGAGCTCCTAGGGCTGTGGGTCTCAATCACCAGATGCCCTTCATATCAGATATTTACATTACGGCTCATAACAGGAACAGAATTACAGTTATGAAGGAGTAACATAAATAATTTTATGGTTGGGGAATAACACAATATGAGGAACTACATTATAGAGTCACAGCATTAAGGAGGGTTAAGAAACACTGTCCTAGGGGGTGTGCAACCTGAGTTCCAGGTCCCCAGGGCTCCCTTTGATCAGTTGCTGCCTAGTGCTTCACAGGAGTCTGATGTCTCCACCCCAAAAGGAAACAAATCAGAAAGTCGCCTTGTCTATCAAGTCTGGGGGACAGTGTGGTTAAGGCGCCCTCTCTTTGGACACACAGGAGAGATCTGACAAGGCCACTGGAGCAGTGTCAGGAACCTTGTGAGATATGACTGGATTCCACATCTGTTCGTGTGCATGAATGTGTGGTGGTCACCCATGGTTGTCTTCAGGTTCTCTCTCTCTCTCTCTCTCTCTCTCTCTTTCTCTCTCTCTCTCTCTCTTTCTCTCTCTCTCTCTCTCTCTCTCTCTCTCTCTCTCTGCCTTGTCTGTCTCTCTCTTCTCTCTCTTCTCTGTCTGTGTGTGTGTGTGTGTGTGTGTTTCTGTCAGTTCGATTACAGAGATTTTCTCTGGTATGAGAACACCCTAGCTTAAGAGTTGTACTCCTCTGTAGGGGACACAAATATTTTTTGGTCCTGCCAAATCACCCACAGAGAAACAAACAAACAAATATAACAACAGAAACAAGAACCCTCCACCTGTCTGACTCCCTGAGTGGAGCACATGCTTGATTGACTGCTTGACTCCTGCTCATGGTCAGGGTTGATCTCTGTGGAGGTGAGCAAGGTCCAGGGTTCTCATCCAGACCCCTCTGCAGTGAAAGTCCAATGCACACAGAGAGGAGGAAATAATTCCTCAGGTGAGCTCTCCCTGCTCTCCATGTCTGTTCTAAGCAGCCCCGGGAAGAAGAAAAGTTCCCCTGACTGAACCCAAGGGAAAAGAGAAAGTTCCACTCCTTTCTCTTCAAGATTCATGTCTTCTTCTCAATTAATGGTCCACATAAATTGAAAAACTCAAAACCTGCCATTTTCTGAAAAAGAGGAAAAAAAGAAAGAAAGAAAGAAAACAACCCCAGGGTGTGACACGGGGATCCCTGTCAGACACTTCAGCCTGGACAAAATGGATTTTCCCTCCTGTCCAACACTGACCAAGGAGACTTTAAACTATACTCAATACATAATTTTTGAAAGATTAAAGACAACAGCTAAAATTATTTTTTGTCACCCAGTAGGCACCAGATATTAGAAAGCAATTATAAAAGTTACAATAAAATTGAAAGTGTAAGTAGGTCCCAGTTACTGGTGCTAGCTCAAAGGTATTTAACGAGAGAGGACTGAGTGGGTCAAGACCGTATGCATGGACTGTAGCCACCATCACCCTCTCTGATGATGAAGCAGTCATCAAAAGTCTCCCAACCAAAAAAAGTGCAGGCCCAATGGCTTCAGTGCAGAATTCTACCAGAAATTCAAAGAAGAGCTAATTCCAATACTCCTCAAGTGTTCCACACAATAGTAGCTGGAGGCTCACTGCCAAACTCTTTTTATGAAGCTACAAATACCTTGGTACCCAAGCCACACAAAGACACAACTAAGAAAGAGAACAATTTTCCTCATGAACATCGATGCAAAAATACTCAATAAAATACTAGCAAATCGGATTCAAGAACACAGCAGAAAAGTCATCCACCATAATCAAGTAGGCTTCATCACAGGAATGTAGGAATGGTTCAACATTAGAAAATCTATCAATGTAATCCACCATATAAACAAACTACAAAAGAAAAACCACATGATCATCTCACTAGAGGCTGAAAAAGCCTTTGACAAATCCAGCACCCCTTCATGATAAAGGTCCTAGAGAGATCAGAGATAACAGGAACATACCTGAGCATAATAAAGCAATATACAGTAAACCAACAGCTAACATCAAACTAAATGGAGAGAAAGTCAACACAATTCCTCTAAAATCAGGAACAAGACAAGGCTGTCCACTCTCTCCATATCTCTTCAATATTGTACTTGAAGTTCTAGCTAGAGCAATAAGACAACAAAAGGACATCAAGGGGATACAAATAGGAAAAGAAGTCAAGCTGTCACTATTTGCAGATGATATGATAGTTTACATAAGTGACCCAAAAAACTCTGCAAGGTTACTCCTAGAGCTGATAAATGCCTTCAGCAAAGTGGCAGATTACAAAGTTAACTCAAAAAAATCAGTTGCCCTATTATATACAGATGATAAAGTAGCTGAGAAAGAAATCAGAGAAACATCACCCTTTACATTAGGCATAAACAGCATCAAATATCTGGGGATAATGTTAACCAAAGAAGTAAAAGATCTGTATATCAAGAACTTTGTGTCTCTAAAGAAAGAAATCAAAGAGGATACCAGAAAATGGAAAGATCTCCCATGCTCTTGGATTGGTAGGATCAACATAATAAAAATGACAATCTTGCCAAAAGCAATCTAAAGAATCAAATCGAACCCTATCAAAATTCCAGCACAATTCTTCACAGACCTTGAAAGAACAATAATCAACTTTATATGGAAAAACAAAAGGCCCAGGATACCAAAACATCCCTATACAATAAAGGAACTTCAGGAGGCATCACCATGCCTGAATTCAAGCTCTATTACAGAGCTATAGTCCTGAAAACAGCTTGGTATTGGCACAAAAGTAGGCAGGTAGACCACTGGAACCGAATTGAAACCCCTGATTTTAACCCACACACCTATGAACACTTGATTTTTGACAAATTGTACAATGGGAAAAGGAAAGCTGGCATAACTGGATAATGGCATGCAGAAGACTGGAGATAGATCCATGTCTATCGCCTTGCACAAAACTTAAGTCCAAATGGATAAAAGACCTCAACATAAATCCAACCACACTGAAACTCTTAGAAGAGAAAGTGGGAGATACTCTTCAACGAATTGGTACAGGAGACAGCTTCCTCAACATAACACCAGTAGCACAGACACTGAAATCGACAATTAACAAACGGGACCTCCTGAAACTAAGAAACTTCTGTAAAAGCAAAGGACACACTTAACAAGACAAAAAGGCAGCCCACAGAATGGGAAAAGATATTCACTAAGCCCACATCTGACAAAGGGCTGATCTCCAAAATTTGCAAAGAACTCAAGAAACAAGTCTCCAAAACACTAAAGGATGCAATTAAAAAGTGGGGTACAGAACTAAATAGAGAATTCTCAATAGGGGAGTCTAAAATGGGCGAGAGACACTTAAGAAAGTGCTCACCATCCTAAATCATCAGGGAAATGCAAATCAAAACAACTCTGAGATACCATCTTACTCCTATCAGAATAGCTAAAATCAAAAACACCAATGACAGTTTATGCTGGAGTGGATGTGGAGAAAAGGAAACACTCCTCCACTGCTGGTGGGAGTCCCAACTCATGCAGCCACTTTGGAAATCAGTATGGAGATTCCTCAGGAAAATGGGAATCAATTTACCACAGGACCCAGCAATTCCACTCTTAGGCATATACACAAAAGATGCATATTCATACAACAAAGACATCTGTTCCACTATGTTCATAGCAGCATTGTTTGTAATAGCCAGAACCTGGAAGCAACCTAGATGCCCCTCAACTGAAGAGTGGATAGAGAAAATGTGGTACATTTACACAATGGAGTAGTACTCAGCAGGAAAAAAAAATGGAATCTTGAAATTCGCAGGTAAATGAATGGTACTAGAAGAAACCATCCTGAGTGAGGTAACCCAGTCACAAAAAGACAAACATGGTATGTACTCACTCATGTATGGATTTTAGACATGGGTCAGGATAGTTTCAGTCTGCAATGCCACTGACAGAGAGTCTGGGAAACAGGAAAGAAACCAAGAGAGATATGCATGGTACCCTAGAGAAGAGGAATGAGGCAAGATCTCCTGAACAGATTGGGAACACGGCGGGAGGACCTTCATCCAGTGACTGATGGAAGCAGAGGCAAACACTCACAATTAAACACTGAACTGAACCCACGGAACCCAGTGATAGAGAGAGAGGAGCGATGAGCAAATTGGCAAAGAATGGGCAGGCGAAACCAACAGAGACAGCTGATCTGGATAAGGGGGACCTCTTGGACCCCAGACTGACAGCTGGGAGGCCAGCATAGGACCTCATCCAGACTCCCTGAGTGTGAGAGTCAGTGAGGAGGCCTGGGCTACCTATGGGACCCTGAGCAGTGGATCAGTGTTTATTCCTGGCATACAAAAGGACTTCGTGTGTCCATAACACAAAGAGGGATGCTCTCTCAGCCTGAACTCTTAGGGGAGAGCCTGGCCCCTACCCTGAGTGAAATGACAGACTCTAGATATCCCGTATGTGGAAGGAAGTGGGGATAGGCTGGGGGGATGGTGGGAGGGGTGCAGGAGGAGAGGAGGAAGAGGGAACTGGGATTGACATGTGAAACAAGCTATTTAAATATTAAAGTAATAAAAAAATTAAAAACAAAAACAAAACTCATCATAGAAATCCCTTCTTATATCAAAGTATTCCATTTCTTATCAGAAATCTGTCTCTAACCCTGTAACTTATGTACCTTTCCCACTCTTGGTGGATCCTAACTGTTTTACCTTCTATTATGAAATTCTCGACAAAATTTAGGCTTTTTTTTCTTAAAGCCTTAAAAGCCTGGATATCCACACCTGACCACTGATGTCCTTGACAGAGAAGATCCACCTAGAGCATCATATTTAAGGCTAAACTGCTATCAACTAAAACATTGCAACATCAAACATAAACTGTTTAGTGGCA